AGGCGGGATGACTGGCGCTTCATCATACCTTCAGTTGAGCTACATGTAACTCTATATTTTATGAATGTTATTATGTCTGTGTAATTATCTAATGGAGAGAGTGTGAGACACCTACTTTAGTAATCTGTGAGTTGATGTGAACTAGGCCTACTAGCTACACTGAAAATGAAATATATGTATCTGCACTGTTTGCTGCTCCCCAGTGTGATATGTTTATTTTGACTTTATTTCATTTTTTTTAAATGCACAGCTCCTGTGCTTCATTTGGATAAACATCTCTTAAAGATGTTTAATTATTCTGCTGACTACCCTGTCTGTCTTTTAAGTGGGTCTTGGGCTGAAGATTGAGACATATGAAGCCTTGGGCTTGAGGTCCATCCCTATAGGCCTATATATAGGCCTTGGTCTTGAGGTCCATCCCTATAGGCCTATTTCTTTATCTCTAAGCTTCGTCTCGCCCTGACCTCCCAGCCTGACCTCCACCTGTCCGAAGCATGATGGAGATGTTGTATCAGCGTGTCAGTGTCACATCCACCTCAGGTCGCCTCCTGGACACCATGGCGGGTCCTCATGGGGTTTGTTAGAGACCGGAAACAGGCTCTTCCGCCCCGTAAACACAGAGCTGAGCTCGGGACAGCGGCAGGGCTGAGGTAGCACGCAAGGAGCACTGATAACGTTAACAGCCATTCCATTCTCTCTGGGAAAGCTAAGTACTACACAGGGGGGTGAAAATGGCCCCTAAGTGGCCTGTGTGTAAATGTCTTAGTTTATAGTTTATTAATGCCGTAGTCAGGTTTTCTTTGACAGATTTATGTCTAAATCTTGACCATTGGCGCTACCAGGACGCACGTGATGACTCGAGCAGAGGTGGATTTTTTGTAGGCCTATCTGTTTAAGTTTTATTTCGATTTATAGGTCTATTATTGCAGTCATTACAATGATATCTGTAAATAAAATGAACGTTTAAGTTTTATTTCGTTAAAATTTTATTTTGATTTATAAGCCTATTATTGCAGTCATTACTATGATATATATATATATATATATATAAATGTATCGATAAATATATCGATTTTTATTAAGAATATTATTAGGCTAAATGCTGTAAGGACGATATGAATTTGCCTCTCCAGAACACTTTCAATGATCTCATTATAACCCCATTCATCCCCGTGTTTGTTTTCACAAAGCTGAAAAGTGGATAATTACAATGGAAGGACGTGTGTATTGGATGAAATATAAATTAAACTGTTAGCTATTTGCACGTATGACTGTAATTCGCTTTGGATAAAAGCGTCTGCTAAATGGCATTATTTATTCAGTCTTTCAAAACTTTGCATTAGCTGTGGTGTTTTCTGTAGGCTAATGCTTTAGGCCTCTTGTTGCTCGATTGTCGCTAAATGGCATTCTTTATTCAGTATTTTTAAACGTTGCATTAGCTGTTGTGTTTTCTGTAGGCTAATGCTTTAGGCCTAATGTTACTGGATTGTTTGTTTTTTAACTTAATTATGCGGTATCTCGCCCTGCGCTGTGTGTGTGTGTGTGTGCGTTCGTGCGGGCGTGCGGGCGTCGGCAATCTGCAGTGCTAATAACACCATTAGCAAGGTGCATTGGTGATCCGTGACGCTTAGCTGACCAGGAAGGGCAGAGGCCGCGAGGCTGCTCTGATTGACACGATAATAGCTGTTAAACACACACATAAACAACATTAACTCGACAAAACGCTTCTATCGCACATCAAAACTAGTATAATTAACCTAAAAATCGCACATTATAGAAATGGGACTCGGTTTTGCCCGTGTCACTCTTATGCTATTCTATTAGGCTATTTAAATAATCATATTGCTTGGTAGTATGATGAGGTATAGAGATATAAACCTACAATCATTCGTCAGAAAGTAACCGACTTTACAGTCAAACCATGCCGCCTAGGATCCTGATGTCAGCAGTGGTGAGATAGGCCTATCTCATGATGAATTAGAAATATCTCTAGCAAACATGTCTGCCTGCCTCACACTATTGAACACACGCGGTCAGAGCTAATTTAGACCGGGGAAAGGCAAAGCCTCGACATTATCTCTCCCAAAACAGTTCACACATATTATCACAAACGTTATTTTGCCATGGCTTGTAAAAGTGAAGTATTACTATTGTAAATAAACAGACGGGAGTAAACCTTTGGCTCCCCCGGTCATGTTTTGCGAGTCAATAAATCCACCTAAATAAATGCATGTGTAGGCTACATTTTCTGCGTCCTTAAAGTAGGCTAGACTAAAATACCCATCAACAAACCTCTGTTTTAGTCAGATTGCTCCACATTTTCATTGCGGCATAACCACATCGCAGTTAGCCAATATAGGCTAATACAAGCAACTAAAACCTTAATGGAGGACGGTGTTTATAGCCCTCTCCTTAAAAGCAACTAAAACCGTAACGGAGGACGGTGTTTACAGCCCTCTCCTTACGCTCCCGGTCTCTCCCCTTGTCCTCTCTTCCCCTCTTTCCCTTCTCCATCTCTCAAATGGGCCGTTTTAAAGACATACATCTTGAGAGGCCGGGGGAGACGCTTCTCTAATCTAAACAGCACTCTGCTGATGGCGAGCGGATGGGATTATTGTCTTTTTCTCCCCCTTTCTCTTTACGGTTTAGGCGCTACCGGGGCTTTTGTCCCTGGCGCCTGTCCTGGGCCACTGTAGACAGGCGACGAGAGGAGAGGAGAAGTGTAGCATTACAACTAATACAACATCTCTGATTTGCCCTCTGGAACTACGATTAAGTTTGCTCGCAGACAGTGGGCCAGATATTTCTGAGAAGATATATAATGCACCAATACAGGCTATTAAATCGCTGTCCCTAAGCAGTGTGTGTGTGTGTGTGTGTGTGTGTGTGTGTGTGTGTGTGTGTGTGTGTGTGTGTGTGTGTGTGTGTGTGTGTGTGTGTGTGTGTGTGTGTGTGTGTGTGTGTGTGTGTGTGTGTGTGTGTGTGGTGTGTGTGTGTGGTGAGTGTATGTGTGTGTGTGTGGTGTGTGTGTGTGTGTGTGTGTGTGTGTGTGTATATATATTTGTGTGTGTGTGTGTGTGTGTGTGTGTGTGTGTGTGTGTGTGTGTGTGTGTGTGTGTGTGTGTGTGTGTGTGTGTGTGTGTGTATATTTGTGTGTGTGTGAGAGTGTGTGTGTGTGTATATATATAAATGTGTGTGTGTGTGTGAGTGTATGTGTGTGTGTGTGAGTGTGTGTGTGTGTGTGTGTGTGTCTGTGTCTGTGTGTGTGTGTGTGTGTGTGTGTATATTTGTGTGTGTGTGTCTGTTCGACTGTATTGTATCATCGTCCATGCTTGGGTCTAATTGTTTATGTTATATAGTCTAGGCCCCTCTCCTGCATCTGTCTTCCTGAGACTCAAACGTATATGGTCCAAAGGAGAGCACCAAGGCATTCAGAAAAGTTAACAATTGCAAAGTTATAAAACATCTCAACACAAATAGTTGCAGTGTGCTCTGTTTTCTGTCTGTCCTCGGCTGGTGGCGAGTGGAGTCAGCAGACACAGTAGATAATATAGGGTGAGAAACTGTCAGGTCTGGATCGTGTCCACATACACATGTAGCCTAAATCCGGTTAAATGGTAGGCCTAGTCTAGTCCACAACTACATAATAAATTGCACGTTTTACTTTCAGTTGTGAACCAATCAACTAGGCCAAAAACATATATTCAAAACAAATATTAAAGCCTTTAATATAGCCTTTCATATTCAAAACAAATCTGTCTATTTAGAGTTGTTGGTTGACTGTAGACAACTAAATTAATTAATTAATGACTCACACAAGCATGCAAAAGGACAGAATGCGAAATAATAGCGTAAATGCCTAATTGTAGTCCTAATATTATTATTCATAAGTATGCCTATTATTATAGTTTGGATGAATGTAATATAAATATAATCTATATGCTACGTTTCATTACCATATTTTCAACATAATTCAAAATAAATAAATACATGGAAATGTTTCTTAAAACCAAGCGCCTATGCAATGCAAACGAAAATGTGTTTGAATGAATGCGGTATTTTATGGTTTGCCAGGATTCCCTTTGTTTTGTTGGATTATTTGTTGGATTAAAGTATGGAGAAAGTATCAGCATTTTGTTTTCAAAAAACGTGTTGTTGTAATTTTACACTCTTACCAAATACGAGGAACGCCAATCCATTGTAGCCTATTTAGTTCTTGACCACACACACACACACACACACACACACACACACACACACACAGTATTATCCAATCCACGGTGTGTGGAAAGAGGAAAATAAAGATTTGTATTATCTAAGAGTTTGTGATGATGGGAAGACTAGCCTTGAGAGAGATAAATAGTGCGCTTAAATCGGAAATGAGACTGATAGCAACAGATAATGAATGTGTCGTTAATAACCTATCCGTATTCCTCTATGCTGTTCATCTGCAGATACGTTTTATTAGCCTATTAAAACAGTCAAAAAGAAACAGTCTCAACCGTGCAGGCCTGCACACACACTGACTCAAATTTCTCTCTCTACACACACCGACTCAAGACACATTCTTCTTCTTCCATTTGTATAATGAGGAAGGCTACAACTATGTTGAGTTCATTATAGTTTCAGACGGTTACTATTCAATTTTTACACAATTCAATGTGGCAAACCATGATTAAAACAGGTCTCCTACCTGTCCAGATACTGCATGGAGCTGTTCTGAGAGCTGATACCACATTCACATTATTCTAGCCTAGACCGTACTTATTTTTAAATGTCCAATTAAAATAAAGCGATGTGTTTATTTCGGCGTAGGAATCCTGTAACAATAGTTGCTAGTTGATAATCTTCTCTAAACTCTAAATACAGAGAAGAGCTTGCACCCTCGCGCTCTGCAGTCACCCATCCCATTTTCTCGTGACGTAACGGGGAGGGAAAGGAGCGTCTGTCTTGGGTCCGCCAACAAAACAGAAATTGCGTCTCACCAAATTCCCCAGCTAGCTAAACACACACAGCAGCCGAAGCAGAGAGCACAGAGTAGAGAGATGAGAGCTGTCACTTCACGAAACAAGCCAGTCCTCCTTCCCATAACTCCATGAACAAAAAGCAAGGCGCAGCAATCCTTTAGGCAACTGTAGGGTTTTTTATTTTTTCTGGTTCTCAGAGACGAATAGACCCCCTTTTGGATCCGTTTACCTTAAATACCGTCTATCCAAACAAACACCTGCTTGAGGAGTTCTTTATGCTCGGATGAGCCACTTCACCAAGGGACTATAATTCCTACTTCATGTGAACGAATAGGAGCCTATGATAATAATGCTTCGTAGCCCTGTTATGTCTGCCTCCTCCACGCCGTTCTCAGTCAAGGACATACTGAAGTTGGAGCTTCAGCAGCATGCTCAACAACAGCGGCTCGCCTCACACCTTGGGCCGCCCCATGAGCGCTCTCACCCCGGGCCACAGCAGCACCCTTACACCCTCCAGTCGCCCCCGTCTTGTATGCTGGCAGATAGGGACAGCCCCAGCCCCGGGCTCTCGGAAGAAGAGGAGAGGATGTCCTACCTGAGTAGTCTGGCGGTTCAGGAGCAGCTGATGGAAACGGGTCTAGCCGGGGAGATGTTCATTTCCCCGGGGCTGCAGGGACACTCAGCCGACACCAGCCTGGAGGTTGAGCAAGAGGACATAAACGCCAGTGAGTGGGTGATTCCTGGATTACCAGCATATCCTAGCCATTTAATTCTGAAAGAAAGTATTGTATTGTATTCTATTATTTTAGCTTCAATAGGATTGCAGTAGTCTAGGTTATCAGGCTCATTTATTACATTCGATTACATGATTATACACTCACAATACACCCATTAATATAGGCCTAAATCATTCATATTTCTTCTTCCATGTAACTAGACTACCTCAGCCTAGACTACTTCAGTTTAACGACGATGTCATCTACATGCAGGGATCATCTGTAAATAAAGGATACATCGTTTTGGAGAATAACAAAACACAAAACGACAGCGTTTGACACTCATGCATGGCCGAAACACCAGATATAAAAAAACATCGACAATTATTAGTTTTATACAATTATTTAAAGAGCCATGTTTTTTTTTATTGTCAGCTATACACTTAGGCTACACAATGCGCTGAAATGACTAGACTACCATATTTTTTCTACACAATTGTTGTTCCACACAGTTGATTTCCTTTTTAGAAATGACGAGTAATATTGGGCCAACTTTAACTAGGCCACAATTATTTAATGTATTTACTGATTGAATATGCTTGAATATTACCTAATTATTTAATGCATTTAGGCCTACCCTTTATTCAGATGATCCCATTAAGAAAAAAAATAAGAAAAAAAATAGAAGAAACACATACAATATGAAGACATGAAAACAACAATATTTCAAGAACAAATATAGGTATCTGATTTAATTTTCCCTTGTGGTTAATTGATATTCGTGTAATTGATTAGCCAAATAATTCACTCTGTTGGTATCCAAGGTCTTAATCAGTGCCTAGTTAGAGGGGAATTATAGAAAAAACAGGAAAAAACTGCATGTAACCTACTGCGGACCTCCAGGATTACAATATTTGTTTTGTATAGAAAATGTAGATTAATCTGTCAACGTTAGATTACTAAAATCCCTCTCTCCTCTCTTTCTCCAGAATCTTGTGGCGCAATGGGGGTGAGGGCCTGTGAGGAGTCCGCGCAGGCGCACTCGGACTCGGAGAGACTCCCAAAACAGCAGAGGACCCGGCGGAAACCGCGCGTGCTCTTCTCCCAGGCGCAGGTGTTCGAGCTTGAGCGGCGCTTCAAGCAGCAGCGTTACCTGTCCGCCCCCGAGAGGGAACACATGGCGAACACTCTGAAACTGACCTCCACACAGGTCAAAATCTGGTTCCAGAACAGGAGGTATAAGTGTAAACGGCAGCGACAGGACAAGACCCTGGAGATGGCCGGACACCCTCACCATCCTCCCCCACCTAGGAGAGTGGCAGTACCGGTGCTGGTGCGGGATGGGAAGCCCTGCCTGGCTGGATCTCAGAACTATAATACATCCTACACTGTTGGAGCGGCCAGCCCCTTTAGTTATAACGGCTACCCGGCTTATACTTACAATAATCCGGTGTATACTAACACTTACTCATGCACGTACTCTAGCCTGCCTGCTCTAGCACCCAACTCTACTGCTAACGCCTTTATGAACATGGGTCTGGCGAACCTGGGCGCGTCGACATCTCAGGCCCAAACACCGCAGGGAACTGGCTGCCAAGGAACTCTGCAGGGCATTCGAGCCTGGTAGCTGGATGTGATGATCTTCAGTTTTAAAACATTTGCTTTGTTGATTAACGGTTGATCACGTCGATCACTAGCCTACAGTATTTTTTGGATAAGGGAAAACCTGTCTGTGTCACATGCAGCGAAATAGAAGGATTTCTCTTTGAAAGCTGTCATATTGAGACTCGATCATCTTGTACAAAGATATGAGTTGTTTTCTCATCAACGTGGAAAAAACGTGTTTTTAAAAGTTGTTGGACTATTCCAGAGTCACTGTTGGATATAGATATATACTATGGCAACATTGCAGACGGACTTAAACGCGTGCGCAACCGTGCGTAATATGACCTAAAAGCTATTGGGTGCTTGTGAACCAAGGATTTGAATGGCAAACATTGGCAATGATTATATCTGAGCTCTTTACATGTAGCCTACTTGGTCTTTACCAGTGAAAACATTATTCTTCAACAGCATAACAGAAAATCCTTAAATAAAAGATCGAACATGTATGAGGATTATTTTTTGTTATTTCGAATTGACCATTTGCTGCTGCCTTTTTTAATCACTTATTTGAGATGTATCCTCATATTGTGCACTTAAACAATTCCCGCTGCGGTTTTTAGAAAATAAGCATATATTCACAAATAAAGTGAAACATTTGGGTATGAAAATTAAGGCATGTGTTGATAATATTTTCTGAGGGAAAATAAAATGGTCGTTTCCTTACACTCTCCATCGCAGTTTCGAAAAGAGTTTCAAATTTGTATAACATTTATTTAACTAGGCAAGTTATATATTTACAATGACGGCCTACCCCGGCCAAACCCGGAAGACGCTGGTATCCTAATTTACTGTAACTGAAAGAGGGCGTTGGTTACAGCTTTGTTAGTCTATAGGCCTAATGCTATTACCATGAGGGGCATAAACGGTCTCTTGGGAACTTGCTAAGGGCAACACTATACACTTGCAATTGTGTGTATTTGTGTATCTGTGTGTGTGGGGGGGGGGGGGGGGAAGAAAGAAACCTTGCAAATGCCTTTTGAAATTTTTTTGTGCCTGGTTTTGAGTTGAGAGAGAAATTAATAGCCGCGTTCATTCAATCTCATTAATTAAAAGGTGTGCTGTGTTTGTAGTAGGCCTACACATAAATATGTGCGCACTAATTTCGGAATTATTCATACAGTTTTTATTTGATTGACAGTGGTGGAAAAGCTAGGCCTTTCGTGATATTTTCTTCTTTTCGGCCATTGAGAAGCGCTTTGGTTTTTTAGAGGTTCTGCAGAAGGGGCGTTTGGTCTCTGTTTTGCGTTACACCAATTCAGGCCGTCAATTAGGCCTATGCTGATTATTTGTAATCTAAAGATACAAATAAACTTTGGGGAAATAAAATATATCACGATTAAAGCAAAAATAATTAGGCCTATCTTAATTTCCCCCAAATGCACATTAGTCTCTATTGAGCATATGTTATAAGCCTGCCACAAGATATGGCTCTACCAGCATACTGATCGCGTTGAAGGCCGTTTTCCAGCCTTCGCTGTGTGAGCACTGAGGAGAGGCTGATAGAAGAGCAGGCCAGGAAGACAGACAGAAACAGACAAGAGCCAGAACTCAGACAGACATAATGGAGAATGGAGAATTAAGGCCAGAGACGGACATTCTCCAGACAACGCGCTATAACAGTCTGATCGCGCATCCACGGAGGGCGGAGGGCCCACACCGACACTGCCTAGCCTGAACTGATCTCGTATTAATAGCCTTGTAATTATGTTAAAATATCATTTAAAAAGCGAAATATTATAATTTAGATACGAATATTGGGCTTATATTATGACGAAGAAGAAAAATAATACTTTTTAAATTCAGAATTTTAACCTGTGAAACTGACATTTCGTAAATAAGCTATAGCTACACACATTATTTCAAACCATAGTCACTCATCAGATTCATGCAGACTGACTTTCCTTTATTCGATGTGTCATTAGGTGTAGGCCTAAACCAATTAAAAACACTGATTGCCACTTATTCCATTCCTTTTGCCGTTGAGGAAATGTTACTGTGTTCTCATGGTAACTTCCATCCAACGTCCAACCTATACAATGGGAGGAAACATGGTCTTCCATCACAGATTCCCAAATAAAGGATGATGTTCAATGGGACGAGAGAGTAACAGGGTTTTTGGTTTACACACAGGGGAACTCCTATCACTTTGAGGTCTCCATATCACCGCTCATTAGATATAGTTAACCGTTTTAAACAAAAGCCCTGTCTCTCCCGGAGACGCCAATAATGGAGATGGATAGAAACGTAAACAAAGTGTTTGTCTCCAGCGATAGGCGCTAGGCCGCTTCTCCTGGCTACTGCACTGCCGGTAGACGACATACCTGTGTCAGGGTAAGTGGCAGAGAGACCTTAAAGTAAATAGAGATGGCGACAGGAGGGCGATGCCTGAGGACGCGGTGTGTTGTGTGTGTGTGTGTGTGTGGGTGGGTCAGCGTGTATGTGCGTGCCCGCTTGTGTGTGTGGCGAGAGAGTGCCAGAGCCGTGATTGCTATCTACTGCTGCCAAAGATAGCAGCTCATCCACAAGGCGCACGGCGCTCACGGAGTTTCCCAAAACAAAGTCTCCCATGGTAACCCTTCAAGAGGGTTGCAGAAAACAAAGGCCAAATATAGAGTACAGACAGCTATAGGCGGAGGAACTGAAATACTGAAGGCCCACCTCACTCCCTCAGCCTGGTCTACCCGAACAGCAGGAGCTGTCGGCGGAGTTAGGAATGACAGCGATGCACTCCGGATCCCCACAAGGATGGAAAGAGTAGAGGCATAGATAAACGTCTATGTTTGAACATTGCATAGGCCTATGTAGGCTATATGTTTGTAATAGGCTTACCTATGCTTCTGAATACATGTGAATCATCTTGAGGAGATTGTGATGATGTTGAAATAAGTATATTTTCGTTACGCATGCATGGGAACCTACAATAGCCTACATAGATCCAGTAATAGAGGATACCATGAACACCTGCAGGTTTGCTTACCAGAATGTCCATGACTTCTACTCTAGATATGTTTTGACACCTCTGGGCTGTGTGTTCTCTGCAGTCAGAACAGCGAGAAAGAGAGAGGGAGGGAGAGAGACCTCTCTGTTTAGTTAGGGGACGAAAATACAACACAACCAAGGAGCAAGCTCACCTGTCATCACATCATCTCATCAATTAAACGTAGGCCTGAAGGTTGCACAATATAAACAGAGGGAAGTGTGTGTGTTTGTGTGCTTGCGCGTGCGGAGGGGGACTGCGAGTTGCTGCGCAAAATGGTAATCTGTGTAGTTTTTCAAATGAGTACTATTTCAAATGAGTTTATTGAGCTTTTTTCTAATTGTCTATTCCGGAAAATGGCACTTAAGATAAGGCTAATGACAGGAAAAAATATAGAACTGAAAATGTAGGACAAAAAGTTATTTAAAAATCCCAAGAAAGGCAGAACAATTATCAAACATTAAAGCATAATTAAAATAATGTGTCTTTAAGTCTTATGTAAACCGTTTCCCACAACTATTGTATTTAGAGGACAGATTTTTATTTGAGATCCTGATTGCAGTGTTGTCTTGATCTTGTTCAGATTATTTTGTTCTATCGTGAAGGCCCATCAGTTCTGTGTGGAACCACTCCTCAAGGCGCCGGACTGTATTTCCATACTCTCCCAAACCCAGTTAATGGCTGAGCCATTCTACTGAGTGTGGTAATCATTACTACCACAGGGTGACGCTACTTACTCATGAACTAACTAACATGGACCGCAAATTAAGACTACATGTGCTAGCTACAGGTGCTTTTAACAATTATTATTCAATGAAAGTGAGCGGATTACTTCAAGAATGTTTTACATTTACGCGCAATGATCCTCTTTGTCTTCCCGTTTCCAAATACATCAGCCTCCTCGCCATGGTTACTACGAAGAGCTTCTGTATAACAGGTGACCAAGTTCTTTATGTTGCTGAAATTGTATAGTTTCTAAACGAACAGCAGTCGCTTACAATTCACTTTCACATTTCTAAAAAATGTCATGCGTAATTGATGTGTGCGTTGGTTTTTCCATCCTTTTCTTCACTGGACCAACTAAGATCTGTTGTTACTCTCTGAAAACCATCTGCAGACAAAAGTTACATCTTAATGTAATTCCACATCTCAACGTCCTCTGGTAACACACACATGACTAAGGCCTAAGAAAAGAGAAAACCAAGAGGGTAATAACCGCTTCACTCATTGTACCAACATTGATGTATATAGGCCTACTACATTCACCTGACATTTGATCCGTTATGAAGGCCACACAAGTAAACTTAAAATATTACTTTGATTGAACAGTCATTTCGCTGAAAGTTTTGAAGTATTTGATCCATGGGACATGTACTGTATAGCCTACTGTAAAACCATTTTACGCACAATTTTAGCTTCAAATCCACATCAAGGCAAAAGCACAAGAAAGGTGATAAAGACTGTAAAAATGTACATTAGTGTCAGAAAAACGCTCTAAAACCATGAAGAAAATACACATAGGACCTTCTATGAACGTAACATTTTGGTATTACTTACAATCAAATGGACAGAGGCGCCCAGCACACATTTGTAGACTAAAATAAGATCATTAAAATACTGTTTTCATACCCTCTTTACCAAAAAAATGTATGTCGGTTAATCTTCAAATGCGTAGGCCCACGGAATTCATATAATGAGTGTGGATAGCCTATGAGGCCAGAGGCGCTGAGGCTATAGCGCAGGACAGTCTCCACATCCATAGTTATTGATCCGTCAGTACACAAATACAATGTTCTTAGATCTTGCAGGGCACCGCGAGCCAATAGCCTTTCACATATTTCCCTCAACAAAATCCCCTCACATAACAGCAGACCTTTCCCCTAACTGCTGAGGGTCACTAAATGTTCCTAATTCCTAACAACTGAGTCAAACTCAAACAAAAGTTTTAAAAAGGCTGAATTTGTGCTACCTCCATCCATCATAGTCCATAACACTTATACAATCACTACAGGCTTTTGCTCCTCGTCTCCAAATGACGCCCAAGTAGCCTGTTTATCTCTCCGTCATCAATTAAAATCAAGTGCTTGAGGGATAGACATCCTCCGCAAGGCGGTCCAGGGCGGGGCTAACCAGCTCAGACAGCCAATCAGCGCAGGCTTCAGTGGCAGAAGTGAGAGTTGTAATGCAGATATGACATATACTGACACATCCGCTGTTGATTAGACCAGAGGCTGTTTCACCGCAATTAAATTACATCGGGAGGAGATCGAGAGAAAATAGCAAAGGAGGGGACAACCCAATCAATACCTGGAGAGTTTTCATTGTTGAAGGGTTCTGTAGATAAGGGCCGCACGACTTTCGAGAGTGGGTTGAGAGAGTATCCTAATAAAACTTGGGTTGTGATAAAAGTTGGTTTTGCGTAAATGTCATCATGGCGCTGGGCTGCCCCTCTTTCTCAATCAACGACATCCTCACCCGGGGACGTGACGCACGAGACAACATTGCAACTTCACGGGATCTGACAGAACTATGTACGTTAAAGCTGGCCACCACCAACCAGGACCGGCCAACCGAGAGCAGGGATGGGAGCTCGAGGGGCACGGGTTCATCCACGTCGGACTGCAGTGAGGAGCACAACCGGGATGAGATGGAGATTAAACACTTCCGCCAAGGAAATATTGGTTCCTCTCCCGGTTTGGGCGACATCAGGAACCCCACATCTGAGTCCGGTAGTGAAGAGTCCACTGGAGAAGATGCGGAATACATGTCATGCAGAAAAGGTACGTCACCCTCTCAGTCTGTCTATAAGATTATTGATATCGACCAGGAATCTAAATGCAATCATGATACAGGTTTGTTGTTGGAATGCGATTATGCTGATCAATAGGCTACTGTAGGCTATAACGCTTTGTCTCACCAAGCCATAGCCATATACAGTGAGCAAACTGTCCGTATAGGCCTACAGTGAACAAAATCAATTCCGCACTGAACATACTAAATTCCATATATAATGAAAAAAACTCAGTTCTGCTTGGTTATTTCCAGGCCTACATTTGATATGGCTTTCGATTGTTTTTATTTTGCAACCTCGGCTCACATTTTCATGCACATCAAATGTATTCTTCTATTACTTATTACTTTGACAACTGTAATCTAACAAATCAGATGAATAATGCAGGCTATAATAATAGGCTGTATATAATAAGAAGCATGCTTAATAATCAGATGATTACGAGTAAAATTATAACCCCACTTACTGGCTTTGAACTTCTCATTTATTGAGTAATAAATGTGTTGGAGAGACATAGACTAGCATACGTTGTTGCTATTTGAAACATAAAGAGGTCGCGAAATAACCCCAACGCCTTTTACTTGATTCTTTCCTCCAATACAGACATAAACAACAAACAACTACCCAGTCTGGATCAGGACAAACAGAGGGAGGAAGAGGAGGATGAGGAGGAGAGAGAGAGTTGTTACAACACCGTAGGCCAACCCATATCTGGTAACAAGAAGCGCTCCCGTGCGGCCTTCTCCCACGCGCAGGTCTACGAGCTAGAGCATCGGTTTAACGTGCAGCGCTACCTGTCTGGTCCTGAACGGGCGGACCTGGCGGGCGCCCTGAAGCTCACGGAAACCCAGGTGAAAATCTGGTTTCAGAACCGGAGATATAAGACCAAACGGCGGCAAATGGCGGCCGAACTAGCCGCCCGTAGCTACTCTACACCAGCCACACTGGCTAAGAAAGTGGCGGTGAAGGTCCTGGTTCGAGACGATCAAAGACAGTACGGAGGGGATGACCTGCCCAGTCCGCCTGCTCTGCCTCTCTACCCGGCCTACCAATATGGATACTACCCCTACATGTACTGCTTCCAGCCATGGCTCTCTAGCAATGCACTTTGTGGGAGCATGCATTGACACAAGGGCGTAGCTACCATTCCTCAAAGAAATGACATTCATTCACTTTATGGATTTAGGCCTACTAAAAGAAGACAAAGACACTGGGTCACCAGACGACATTTCTACGTGCGTTTCTGTGCAAATACTTGTTTTATTCTCTCGTGGAGAGTAAGATCATTTGGACGCACCGTGAGCCTTTTTGATGCTGTAGCCTACACCTGCAAGGACAATCCTATCGGCATCACACTGACAACATTGATGGATACAGCTAAATTACTGTACTGTGTAAAGAAGAAGGCCTAGATTCATTATTATGCAGGAATGAATAGCCAAATAATAACTCAATAAAGCTTTAAAACAATTTGGGGGTCATCATTATCATCATTTCATTTGTTTACACACACAAATATAACTCTTATTATAATAATAATATGCCATTTAGCAGACGCTTTTATCCAAAGCGACTTACAGTCATGCGTGCATACATTTTTTGTGTATGGGTGGTCCCAGGGATCGAACCCACTACCTTGGCGTTACAAGCGCCGTGCTCTACCAGCTGAGCTACAGAGGACCACATTATAAAACAGGAGGAATATAGGATTAGGATTATGAAACAATACAGTGGCTTGCAAAAGTATTCACCCCCCCCTTGGCATTTTTCCTATTTTGTTGCCTTTTAACCTGGAATTAAAATGGATTTTTTGGGTGGTTGTATCATTTGATTTATACAACATGCCTACCACTTTGAAGATGCAAAATATTTGTTATTGTGAAACAAACAAGAAATAAGACAAAAAAAACTGAAAACTTGAGCGTGCATAACTATTCACCCCCTCAAAGTCAATACTTTGTAGAGCCACCTTTTGCAGCAATTACAGCTGCAAGTCTATTGGGGTATGTCTCTATAAGCTTGGCACATCTAGCCACTGGGATGTTTGCCCATTCTTAAAGGCAAAACTGCTACAGCTCCTTCAAATTGGATGGGTTCAGCTGGTGTACAGCAATCTTTAAGTCATACCACATATTCTCAATTGGATTGAGGTCTGGGCTTTGACTAGGCCATTCCAAAACATTTAAATGTTTCCCCTTAAACCACTCAAGTGTTACTTTAGCAGTATGCTTAGGGTCATTGTCCTGCTGGAAGGTGAACCTCCGTCCCAGTCTCAAATCTCTGGAAGACTGAAACAGGTTTCCCTAAAGAATTTCCCTGTATTTAACGCCATCCATCATTCCTTCAATTCTGACCAGTTTCCCAGTCCCTGCCGATGAAAAACATCCCCACAGCATGATGCTGCCACCACCATGCTTCACTGTGGGGATGGTGTTCTCGGGGTGATGAGAGGTGTTGGGTTTGCACCAGACCATTTTTCTTGATGGTCAAAAAGCTCAAGTTTAGTCTAATCTGACCAGAGTACCTTCTTCCATATGTTTGGGCAGTCTCCCACATGCCTTTTGGCGAATACCAAACGTGTTTGCTTATTTTTTTCTTTAAGCAATGGCTTTTTTCTGGCCACTCTTCCATAAAGCCCAGCTCTGTGGAGTGTACGGCTTGAAGTGGTCCTATGGACATACTACAATCTCCGCTGTAGAGCTTTGCAGCTCCTTCAGGGTTATCTTTGGTGTCTTTGTTGCCTCTCTGATTAATGCCCTCCTTGCCTGGTCCGTGAGTTTTGGTGGGCAGCCCTCTCTTGGCAGGTTTGTTGTGGTGCCATATTCCTTCCATTTTTTAATAATGGATTTAATGGTGCCCTGATCTGTACTTCTCCACAACTTTGTCCCTGACCTATTTGGAGATCTCCTTGGTCTTCATGGTGCCGTTTGCTTGGTGGTGTTCCTTGCTTAGTGGTGTTGCAGACTCTGGGGCCTTTCAGAAAGCACACAGGTGGACTTTATTTAACTAATTATGCGACTTCTGAAGGTAATTGGTTGCACCAGATCTTAACTAAGGGCTTCATAGCAAAGGGGGTGAATACATATGCATGCAGCACTTTTCCGGTATTTATTTTTTAGATTTTTTTGAAACAAGTTATTTTTTAAATTTCACTTCACCAATTTGGACTATTTTGTGTATGTCCATTACATGAAATCCAAATAAAAATCCATTTAAATTACAGGATATAATGCAACAAAATAGGAAAAACGCCAAGGGGGGTGAATACCTTTGCAAGGCACTGTAGGTTAATATCAAGTGCTAAAATCGAAACCAAACCCAATTTACATTTCTAAAATGTTCATACACTTTTGTTTTGACAGACTTTTCGATCTAAGCCTTGAACTTTAAAATAACTTTTCACATTCGGATATATGCAATAGATTCGTTATAACAAATATCTAGGTAAACTAAAGTCGTTTTTCTCCGATTGAAGCCAACAGCCATCTTCATTATGAAATTCGAAACAGGAAAAAAACCAAACATGGATTTCGAAATATTATATTTGTGCCTGTTAAACGTTGAACCCACAAGGACAGACATGTGTAGCCTACAAGAAGATGATCCTAAATACTTTGCACCAATGAGGACGTGATGAGTGTGTATATGGTTATTATTATGGTCGAGATCTTGAAGCCTGAAGCCTACAAGTTAAAGTAACTAACAGGCAATCTAAAAATGCTGGGTTTGAAAATAATCATGTTTTTAAATTGAATATGAGGCTTCGAATGTAAAGATAATTTATTATGAACTAGCTAATTAGGCTAGTTTATAGTTAATGAATTTAAATTCTAGACGATTTCAGGTTTTCAAAATGTTGAGCCTAAATAATTCATGTAAATACAGTACCTGCTGCTTACACTGCCCTGATTTGTTTTTTGGTTCAAGTGTGCAAATAAATCCCTACCTTCTCCGAGGGATTTTCCAAACAGATCTCTGATAGTATTGACATTATGGACCATAAATAGTGACCGCGGTTGAATGGTAAATCAATGTCCTATAGGCCTACCTGTAATTCGTATACTGATACATTTCCCTATTCCCTAATTGATAATACAGAGATAACCAATCGTAATAAAATCATAATTATTGATAATTTAAATGCATATTCAAATATACAATTTTAGTAGCAAAAAGGCAAACCAACCTAAGCTTAGGCTACATTTACTAACTTTAATCCTGACCTAATATACCTTGATAAAAGGTTAAATTAAAGAACGTGTAAATGTTCACGAATTCAAAACGTGAAATCTACACGAAATGCAAAACGTGTAATGCACACGTTTATATTTTACGTTTTAGTCATTTAGCAGACGCTCTTATCCAGAGCGACTTACAATATCCAGAGCGACTTACAATACGAAATGCAAAACCTGCAATGTACGGAAAATGCAAACGTAAAGACACAATTTGAAATCGTGTGGGTGCACACACACAAAGTGTATTCTGCACCAATTTAAAAGTGCACTCCATAGGCCTAAGCTTATAGGCCTACTACCTAAAATGTATCTATTTCACAAAATTAAGTGTGGTGTTGTGCCTGCTGTGTTTCTAGCCTAGCCTGTTAAATCCTGTTCTGAATCAGTTTCTTAGAACTGCATTGTTGGTTAAGGGCTTGTAAGTAAGTATTACACGGTAAGGTCTACTACACCTGTTGTATTCGGCGCATGTGACAAATACATTTTGATTTGATTTGAAGTAGTTCTGCAGCTGCATGAGAGGTCAAATAAAAGAACGACAAGTAAAATAAACCGCTCTAGTTTCTGGTCACAAGCTCAGGAATGACTGAAGAATCACAACATTTATCTCAAATTAACACAACAAATAGCACTGTTGGGAGATTTGGAAAGCCATAGTCAATCAATCAACAATATAATAATACTTTTAGTAAAAATATTTATCTTTAACTCGCAATCTGTATATACTGTGTGAATAGACAGGTTCAGAATTTATGTGAAACATCACAGCACAGTTGAAAAATATATGGCACAAGGAAATCATGAGCGTGCGGTTTACTGCGATAGGTGGGATGGACTGAGAGTAGTTGAGGGGTGGATTTAAAAGCTCATGAAAAACACGATGTACAGTGCATTTAAAAGTATTCAGACCCTTTGACTTTTTCCACATGTTGTTCGATTACAGCTTTATTCTAAAATTGATTAAAATGTTTTCTTCCCTCATCAATCTACACACAATACCACATAATGACAAAGCAAAAATAGGTTTTTAGATTTTTTTGCAAATGTATATATATATATATAAAAAAGAAGGAAATATCACATTTACATACAGTACCAGTCAAAAGTTAGGACACACCTACTCATTCAAGGGTTTTTCTTTATTTTCACTATTTTCTACATTGTAGAATAATAGTGAAGACATCAAAACTATGAAATAACACATATGGAATCATGTAGTAACCTAAAAAAGTGTTAAACAAATCAAAATATATCTTATATTTGAGATTCTTCAAATAGCCAACCTTTGCTTTGATGACAGCTTTGCACACTCTTGGCAATCTCTCAACCAGCTTCATGAGGTAGTCACCTGGAATGCATTTAAATTAACAGGTGTGCCTTCATAAAAGTTAATTTGTGGAATTTCTTTCCTTCTTCATGCGTTTGAGCCAATCAGTTGTGTTGTGACAAGGTAGGGGGGGGGCATACAGAAGATAGCCCTATTTGGTAAAAGACCAAGTCCATATTATGGCAAGAACAGCTCAAATAAGCAAAGAGAAACAAAAGTCCATCATTACTTTAAGACATGAAGGTCAGTCAATATGGAACATTTCAAGAACTTTGAACGTTTCTTCAAGTGCAGTTGCAAAAAACATCAAGCGCTATGATGAAACTGGCTCTCATGAGGACCGCCACAAGAATGGAAGACCCAGAGGATAAGTTCATTAGAGTTTCCAGCCTCAGAAATTGCAGCCCAAATAAATGCTTCACAGAGTTCAAGTCACAGACATATCTCAACATAAACTGTTCAGAGGGGACTGTGTGACTCAGGCCTTCATGGTCTAATTGCTGCAAAGAAACCACTACTAAAGGATACCAATAAGAAGAAGAGACCTGCTTTGGCCAAGAAA